AGACATGATATACTCCTGCATTTCTACTTTTGAGTAACGTTTACTGCATGACCATGCCAGGCTAACAAGCTCACAGATGGAGCAGTCACAATAAGAAGTTTCAGTAGTTTCTTTTGTCCAACACTTAATAAGCACAAAAATCCAGCAGCTAAGATTCACTTGGTTTCTCCACTTCCAAGAAACACGGTCTTGCTTTTTGTGACAGGACCACCTTCAGTAATTTCCCAACTGGTTTAGTCCAAGTCTCCAAACTGGCAGTATCATCCCTTCCTTTCTTCCTGAAAATATTCAAAAAGCACCATTGTGCATAAACTACTCAGGAGTTATTCAACCACTGGTTATTTTCATCAAAGATCTGCTATCAACAGCATTTCAAGTTCTGCATTATAATCGTGTCTGAGCACTACCTCATTATGAAAGTAGCTACACAGACCTTAATACTGCCCTCCAAAGGAACTAGTAGCTCATCAGAAAGACTCTACTTCAAGTAACAGTCATGCTCGAAGGAGAAAATAAACCAATGCCCCACTTCACTACCCAAAGGTCACAGCAGTGAAACTGGTACAAATTCCCACTAATTCCAGGATTAGGAAGCCACACAACAGCTTTAAAGTTGCTTCTTTAAGTGAGGAACTCAACTGTTAAGAATTGTAGAACCAGCCAATAACCTATTTTCCTTCTAAAGCAAAACCTTACTAATCTCAGCTTTTCCAGATAGATTCATTATAACACAAAGCCTAAAGCAGTGTGCAAAGAAGTTCTTGTCCTGCTGCTCTTTGAGCACTGAACACAGTCTGTCCAAACCCAAGTGGATAAACTGATGAGTTGTCAGGCACTAGAACTCTTTTACCTCAGGCAAATAATGCAAATTCATTTGGCTAGTGACTACTATGACCCACAGGTACCACTTTTTATGATTAACTCAGAACTCACCCTGTAGGAATAATTCTTCACTGAATACCCCAGCTGTTAGATTATCATCCATGACTGGATGAAGCAAGCTTATTTCAAGTTTTACCCTGTTCCAACAAAACAAACTTATATCTAAAATCCTATGAACACTTAACTAGCCTGTAGCTGAGAATACCCTTTCACTTAATTTTAAAAGGTTACAAATACAGTGAATCTGAAGTGCTCTCACTAGCCACAACTGAAGGTTGATCTAGCAATGACATATACTCAAATATACACATACATGAATTTTTTTTTGAGAGTGCCTAGCTCAGTGATTCTAGTTACACTAGCCAAAAGCCTTTAAGAGGTGCCCCTAATAACTGCAACTTTCCTGAGAAAAAGCATACTTTACTTCACTAACAATTAAAACCTGTTTATCTCCGTTTTCCCAGCAGGTGCTTCATTCTGCTCCTGTTCAAACAGAAATATTTGTCAAGCCACACAATGAAGAGTCACATTAGAAAAACATCCATTACTATTAGGCTTATGTTTGATCTATTCTTTGCTTCTCCTTCCCCCATGATCACTTGCAGAAGCAAGAATGAGCAGCTAAAAAAAGGTGCAGGATCATCTTTCAGCATGAGCACTTCAACTGTCTCAATTATGACATTAATGCATAGTCAGATCTATCACACTGTTAGTATCTCTCTCCTTTCTCCCCTAAATACCCTTGAACTCCTGTAAGTCCCTTTGTATGGCTAAAGGTAAACAGCAGTGTTTAAGTAACAGGTCTTAGCAAGGGCTCTGACCACACATGCGTGCACAGACAGGCTATCATGGCAAGTTAGAACCACACGTCTAACAGCTGGAGAACATCCAGCCCATTGAAGTATCGCCGTTAAGGAACAAATTGTAGTTCAGTAGAAATTGATAGTTTCCCTGGTAAGCCACCATAAATGTAAACTACACACCATTTTTTACCCAGTCTCTCTCTCCTACAGCTCTTTTGAGATTAAAACAGCTTGCTGCAGACTGGCCATAGGGCAAGTGCCCTGTCTCGAAGAACTACACATATTTTGTTTTTACTCATCTCCCACAGTACAAATAATTCAGAATGTCTAAGACATTGTTTTGAGACTGCACTGCAACACTGCCAGAGCTACTGCTTCTTTCAAAGTAACTGCTTCCCCAAAATAAAAACAACCTTGAAGCTAACAAGAAATTACTACCAGCTCGTTAAAACTTGCCTTCATTTCAATTACTTCAAAAAAGTACAGCCACACCTCCATTCAAGTACTGCTGCAATAAGCTGCAAGTTACACAGAGAACTTTTAAAGTAATTGACTTCTTGGTTTTCAAGCAAAATCTGTTATCAAAGTGAGTTATCTAAAAAGCTGCTTTAAGAATTAAATTTCCTGCTGATTTTCTATATAAACTATTTTGTAAGCATTCAAATAATTCTCTTACAGTGAGGCAGGCAATTACTGTTTCATTATTACAGAACACATGCCTAAATGCAAGTACTAATAAAATGGGGTTTTCTCCCCTCATCTTTAGTTGAAATCAATGTTCTCCCTTTTAACACATCTGCAACATAGTATTCGTAATGTCACAATGTCAAGTCCCACATAAATCTGTGTTAAAAGAATCACTGTACACTGAAAGCCTCTCTGGAAGCTTCCATTACAAAGGAGTATTTACCTTGTGTCATACGATGCTTACACAGGAAGAATCAGTAATCCACTCATTTTAATGTTTGATCAACAAAACTTGCCTGCTCCTAACACCACTTCCAGGAAGCATTTTTTTTTAAATAAAAAACGAACAAAAAAACACCACAGCCTCAAAATCTAGGACTCAAGTATCTTGCTCTTTATAGTCTGCACAGAAGTCAGTTGGCACAATGCTCAGCTGACAGCCACGTTCTGACACTCAAAAAAGGAGGGATTGCTCTTTTAGAAAACAGAGTTCACCTCCTAAAACCTAAGGTCAAATAATACTACTACTTTTGAAAGCTTCACACTCCTAATTCTCATCTTCTCCCTTTCTTTCCTGGTATCCTCTGTAAACCTACAAAGGAAATATGCAGTGCTGTTAGATGCTTCCAATCCTGTTTTTCTACCCTTCCTCCCACAACACAGAGATGCCCTGAAGGCTATATATGCGACCAATATGAACTACTTACAGTAGCTCCTAAGTCCCCAGTCAGTTCTTATGTAACTGAACTCCACCTCACCGTATTACTTATGTAACACATATTAAAGAGCAGCTATTATACAGGAATCTTCTCTATTAGTCACACACTCAGTTACTTTCATTCCAGTTCTCAAACAGCACATTTGTGAAATAGTCAAGCTTTATGCTCTATCAGGTTGCTACTGTGGAGGTAAAAAGAAAAAAAATAATCCTATCTATGCAGGGACAGACTAAGAACAGAAAAAGTGAAACATTTCTGAACACAACAAACCAAAACCCTTAAATCATCAACAATTTTAACCATTAATTTGTTCACTGGGTTAGATGCAGCAGCTAAATTTACACCCTAGCATGCAAGACATAGAAACTAGCACTGAATTGCTTTCAAAATATGAAAACCTCAACCAAACAGTAACAGGAGTTGCATTCCTTAAAGAAAAGAGTTAAGACTGGAAAACATATATTTTTCACTTCCCATATAGCAAATACTGAAATAAAAAAAATACCCAGAAAATGTATTTGCCAACCTTTCAGGCCTATCCAGACCTGTGTAGCAAGTTCATTTTCCTATGGACCTCAAAGTAAAACACAGGGAGTCCTCACAATACACACAGACCACATTTTTCTTTTGCGCTAAGTATATACATCAATTCCCATGTTAAAGATGCGGGCCATCTGTGGCCTGACTTTGGAATACATCTATCGCTCCACAGAAAGCTGCTCAACTCCTGCAATAGGTTTCAGTAACACACAAAGAACAGCGATCCACCTTTCCTGTTCAAACAGCATGAAGTAATGAACACCTGGCAGATTTTCCCTTGGCCCCTCCACCCGTACTCCCGGCAGAGCAACACTAGAACAGCCAGTATCTCCTCGTCAGAGGAACAACCCCGCATAGCCTGTGCGTTTTCCTCAGCGGCATAATGCGGTCATTTAGACATCGCTTAAAACGACTGTTCCAGTAAGAACCAATCCATAACCCCTGGAACTTAGCTCAGAGCGAAGTGCCTTCGCGCAGAGCGGGCGGCACTACCGTGAGCGCACCCGGCTCCCACGCTCGGGCGGAGCCAGCAGGCGCCCAGGGGGAACTTTCCCTGGCGGTGGGTAAAGCCTTGCGCAGAGAGGGGGCGGAATGGAAAGCTTCCCCCAAGAGCAGCTACACCCTGGAGGTGGGTGGAGAGTAGGAGAGAAGCGAGAACCTTCCTCGGCAGCAGCTACACCCTCGTGCACAAGGCTGATGGGGGAAGGGAACCAGCGCGGGACCGACGACGTTGTGCGGGAGGAGGGGGAGGGAAGCCCGGGCTCTCCCGGGCAGCCGCCGCCGCCGCCGCCTTAGCCAGCTTGGTCCGCAGCCAAACCCCACAGGAATGCAACGCGGTCACATGACCTCCGGCGGACGTGCAACTCCCTTCCCTCTCCAGGGACACCCTGCGCCATCTTGTACTGACGCAGTTACAAAGGCAGGCACGAGTTGCTCCCCTCTCGCTCGTTTCCCGCTCCTCTCGGCACAGCCCCGGCACTATTTGGGAAAGAGAAGCCCAGGCCTGGTCCTGCTTTCCTTTTCGCCAGCTCTTCGGGGACACCCTGCCCGCGGAGTCCTCCCTGACGCTGAGATCATGGCGCCCGTTTTCTCCCTTTGCCTCCCCCGGCAGCTCCCAACCCTGCCCAGCTGCGGCTGCCCCTGCTGCAGGATGATGTCAGCGCCAGCCAATCAGGGCGCGCCGGGCCACCCAGGCCAGCTCGGCCATTGGCTGCCGTGCCGCTCCCGCCCCCCTCCTGACTCGGGCCCCGCCGCGGTTCGCTGCGGAGCCGCAGCCAAGGCACAAGTGCGGGGAGGGGAATAGGAGGGGAAGGGAAAAAAAAAAAAAAAAAAAAAAATCCCTACACAAAAAACCGACAACCAAACCCACCAAGACGCCAGCCGCCATTTCGCGCAACAACAGGCAGAACCCGAGCGAGCAGCCCCAGCCAAGCGCCCTAAGGAGAGAGAGAGAAAGAAACAAGAGACACACGCACAGAAGAGTTAGACAGGAAAAAAATACCCATAGACTCCGCCATGATCACAAGACGTTTAATCGCCCCCCTCCTCCCTCAGACTTAATGCCCCATTACAGCCGCCTCCTCTACGTCCAACCAGCTAGCAGATCCCTTCACCTCGGCTCCCTCCTGCCGCAGCAGCAGCTGTTTAGAGCCTCAAACTCTCTGTGCCCAAGGTGTGGGGGGACGCTAGTCTATGGCGCTGCTGCTAACTGCTTCTCCAGTCACCCGAATGTGGTGGCTCCATCGAGGCAGGGTAAGAGCTGCCAGCCCAGCTTTTATCTGGTGCCCCGAGTTTGCGCACTGAAGGAGGCTCGCTCAGCCCCTGGTGGGCGTCGAACGAAACCCCAGCCGCCGCCTCCCCTCCCTCCATCAGCCATATCGCTGGAGGGGCTGAGGCCGGGCAGGGGAGGCAGGGCGGCGTACGGGTACAGCGGGAGCTGGGAGGAGATAGGGTGGTAGGAAGGGAGCTCCTTACGAATGGCGGGTTTGTGTCTGCCCTGAAAGGCTGAGCGAGCTCCAGGCTTTGGCAGCGCCCGCTGGTCTGGACGGAAGCGCGCCATTCCTGCTCCCCGAGCGCTGCTCCCTAGAGGGGAAACGAGGCTCGTTCGCCGCTTGCCTCTTTCCCTACAGAACAGAAATGCCTTCAGCGAGTGCTGTCCCACTCGCTTTAAGGAGAGAAGCTTTCTCCCACTTGCCTTTGAGTCCTAAACGCTTCGGGGAAGATTCTCAGCCTCGAGTGTCTTACTGAGAGTTTCAGTCAAAGCCTCCTGAGCAAGTCTGCAAAAAATTGCCGCTTTCTTGCTCCCCTCTTCCCCGCCCCTCAGGTAGTTCTTCTGCGTGTGAGATCCGGCGGGTGTCCCCGGCTTTTCGTGCAGTTTAGGCCGAAAATGTGTTGTTAGAGATTCATAAAGAACACATATGCTGATAGCATCGACGGTCGTGAGGCAGAAGCCGGAGGTTGGGGGTGTGAGAGCGGCCAAGGAGGGAATTTTGGCGTTTATTCCTCCGAGGATGCAGCTCTGACTCAGACACCCTCGCCCCCGCCCGCGCTCAGCCCCACAACAGGCCGGGACGGAGCCCCCGCCCCTCCCGCGCGGGCTGCGCCGCCGGGGCTGCGGATCGCCCCCGGCGCCAGCCCCCGCTGCCCCTCCTCCGCTGCCCTACTTCCTCCTCAGGGCCCCCCTGCCCAGCCCCTGCCGCAGTCTGGTGCCGCGGCCGCGCCCAGACCCCGGAGCCGTTCAGCGTGTTGCAAAATGGACTCTGAGGGCTCGGCCGGCGCAGGCTGCGCTCCCGGCCCGTAAGCAAAATGGCGGCTGTTTGGCTTCGCCTTGGTAACCCTGCCCCTGTCAGGCGGGGCGGGTGAGCCCCGTGCAGGGGGAGGGAGGGGAGAACGGACGCCATTTTCCCAGAGAGAGGCAGTGACATAGAAGGGAGCGTAGGAGGCTGGAGGGAGGGAGGCACGGGAGCAGCGGCGGCAGCAGCGGGGTTTGTACACAGGTCCCAGGGCAAAGGCGCCTTTGAGCTGGTCCCTGTAGGGTTCTGCGCACTGAACTAGGTTTGGGGGGAGGGGGGGTCTCCTCTTTCCCTTTTCTTTCTTTTACTAGAGCTTACTGAGGGCTGAGTCCTGCCTAGGGTAGGGATATCCGCAGTGGGGCTGTTGCATTGTTTTGGTTGGGATAGAGAAGGGGCTCAGCTGAGGGGTCCTACTGCCTGGCCTGTGACCATTACAGGTGAGTCTTTGGTTATTACCAGCATATTCTGCTGTGGGTGCTTTGGGGGAGGGGGGGGTGGAAAAAGGGAGTGAAATGCGACGGGCATGTCTCATTACCTTCGGTGCGAGTATAATTCCTTCCAACCCTGAAATGTGTTTAGTTTTTGTTTAAGTTGCCTTGAATTTGCTTTTCCTTTTGTGGGGTTTGGTTAAAAAATGGCAGGCTGTCGCTATATCTTATGAATATGGCGGGTTACTGTAACTGGAGGAGCTGAGGAGAATTTTTTGGCAGTTACGCCAGATTTATGCATTATGCTTGGAAAATGAGCCAAAAAGGAGCTATTATGTGACAGCATAGGCTTCCTTGGGCTGGCGGTTTTCAGAACGGGTTTGTGCGTTATTGGGACTGCGTATTGAGTTTTACGAAGCTTGGGGAAGCCTATTCTTTTCCTCCATCCTGTATATTTTTGCTTTGTGGTACTAAAATGGTTCGTTATAGGCCTAATCTCTTTGCCTTCCACACCCCCGCCTCCCTGCCTGCCTCCCTGTTAATATCTCTGTTTCGTGGTGTAACCTGGACAAACGGAGAGCTGTCCCCAGGAGTTTCTGTGCCAATTTAAAAGGGGATCATTCTCCCCACCCCCTTTCTCGAGGCTGTAAGTAGTTACACTGGTGCACCTCTTGCTTGCTTTAGTTTCTGCAGGCAGTGTTCGTGTTCCCTGGGTGGCATATATCAGTCTCTTTCCTGAAGCAGTAAGTGCTGGTGGGTTAGACCGTATTGCTGCAGACACAGGGGAAAAGAAACAAACGGTTCACTGTGTACTACTAAATAGGGTAGAGAAACATAATATAGCCTGATTATAAAGGTCCTGTATTCCCCCATACTCGGCTATTAGGGAATGTGCGGTCTCTGAAAGCCCTGAGGTCCCTAAAATGGTACGTGCGACGTGTCGTCAAAAGCAGAAGTTGAGTGCTGCATCTGGGTTTTGGAATGTTTTAGTCTGTTTATTTACAATAGCTTAAAGAAATAATAACGAAGCATTTTTGTTACTTAAGGTTCAGATCAGAGAAAAGCAGGAGATACCCATGTCAGTACTTGCAATGCATGATTAATTGGTTATCATCACTATACTTTTAAAGTTACTTTTAAAAAAATGAGGAGTAAATTTATTAATTTCCCTCTTTTGTCCTTTAGAGATTCTAAAAATGGCGGCCTCAGGCTGATGTTGTGGTAATCTAATCAGCTCGGGTCCTCCACACCCCATGCAGTGCGTTTGTCTGCAGCATATTAGTGTCTTACTATGTTTAAATGAAAAGGCTGTTCCCTTCAAATAACGTACAAAACATCTCTTGACTTTACTGTGATTTAAAAATGCTGTGTTCCAGCTGATTAATTTTATTGGTTATGTGTGTGAAAGGCAAGTGAACGAGACCACTCTTGTCGGGGAAAAGGGGGGTGGAAAGAGGCAGCAGACTCAAGCAGCTCCTTCGAGGGGTGTGTATATGGTGCTGTAAGGTAGTATGTATGTCAGTTTAGTAAATCGGAAAAACTGCGTTTGTGATCGATATTGTAGAACTGTCTGTCCTACTAACGACATAAAATCAGTAATATATATCAATGCGAGTAGTGGATTACGATCACAAAGACAGCTTAATATTTTTGTGGAAACACATATGTGAACGTCATGTTCATCTTCCAGGAAATACCTTCACTAGACATCTGTGTAGTAATTCCATGTATTCAAAGCTTGAGAATACGAAATGAATTTAAGGGAATAATGCATGTGAGATTATAACCTGTTACTTTATTTCAAGACACGGAATTTCTTCTGCTGCTATGTAATCTTTGCATTACATTTTTTTCAGTTTATTTTGTATATTGTTATATAAATTGTATATGTGATAATGTATATACAAGATACAAGTACTGAGAGAAGGTGTGGTTCATAACCTCCAATTTTTTTCCTAAATGAAATATGAACCTTTTAGTATCACCACTATAAATATGTTTGAGTGGGGGGAAGGGAGGTCACAAGGATTCATTATTTGGTAGTTGGTGTAGTGTACTCGGATACATACTATAGAGGCTGCAAATTGTGTGTTTGAAACAACAATAGCAAAAAATAAATTTTCACCTTTTTTTAAATGCCTATAGTTAATCTTGTCCTTTAAATTAATGCAATATGAATTCCTATTCCAGTATAGCTTTAGAACCTTCTGGATTTGCTAAGCAATCAAAAGTAAGGGATTGAAGGGGAAAAGCTGTCGTCAATCTCTGATGAATTTTAATTTGAATAGCACTGATGTAGGATTTAAGGTATACCTGAAGTTGAACAGTAAGATAGTTAGACTTTGAGGGTGTCGTTAATGCATGCCTTTAGTGTGTTTCAAGGCCAAAGGCTGAGTGATTTTGTTAATTCTCCAGTAATGCATGCTCCCATCATCTTTATTTATATAAATACAATTTTTTTTTTGGAACCATGTCTTATTCTCTTTATTTGAGAACACAAAAATAAGACTTTCAAGAGTATATGTGCCTTTATGGAAACCTTTTGCCTTTTTCTTTACTTGCCTTCAGTTGAAAGCCCCTGTTAATGCTATACAGTCTGTAAGCTCTTCATGGCCTCTGTCATGTTCTCAAGCAGACATCTGATTCACAGAGGAAAATAACTTTGTTCACGTTATAAAGTGTTTGGGGGAGGATAATGAAATAACAAAAAAAATACTATTTTTCAAATTTTACAGTTTATTTTATGCACTAAGAACCTCTTGGGAATTTAGAGATCTTTCAGAGTTTTCCTGTATGAGTTTTAATGAGTCAGTTTGCCTTTGTGACTCAGTTTCTCCATTTGTAAAAACAGATTTGTGATTGAAGGAGATGAGAATACAAAACAAATTCTACCTTTATTTTTTAACTCCATTTATGTTTTTATTTATATATTCATAAAAAATGAAATACCCATCTCCCCCAAAACTAATACAAACTTCTTCAAAGAGGGAAGGTTTAAAATCTAAATTCCTTTTTTTTAATACATATTTCTGTTCCACAAATATTGTGTTACAAATGCAATAGTATGGATTTGAGTTATGAAACCATTTATGTATCTTGAAGTTTTTCATATCTAAAGGAAAAATTTGCTTAATTGTCACTTAGCCTTTTTGGTGAGTGTTTTTGCCCTTTGGGAAATTCCAGAGGGGAAATAATACTTACTCTTTAGACTAAATCTAGGGAAAGTTTCTCTTAGGACTAAATAACCTCTTCAGGTTGCTTTAAAATAATGCAACCCCTGATTTTTCTTGGACAGTTTCAGCATACACAACTATTAAAGTTCTGTTGGAAAGCAGAGGAAATCAGAAAACAGTGGCACACTAAAGGCTGAAGTGTTTCTCCAGTTATGATTTTGGTTTGACTAAGGACAGTCTTAATTTTGCCTGCATGCTAATACTAATTTTAGTAAGGACTATTTGTGGGACTGAGTTAAGGAGTGGTGTATGTAATCGTGGTATTGTTCTAACTAGATTAATGTAAATGAAGGTTTAATGAAAGTATTTTGCTGTTGTCACGTGACATTATAACAAAATTTAGTGGGAGGGGTATAGATGGGTGAAGATATAAAATAGAACCCAATTCAGACTTCTGCAGAGATCCTGAAGAAGTGCATCTATGTTATTTGCCTCATGACTTTCTTACAAATGAGCATTTGTGAATCTCTCAAAGGCAGATTTTGTTGGACAGTGTTTTTTCAACAGGTACACTGTTTATACTGTTTGTTTTTCCACTGTGCAAATAGTTCTGATTTATTGCTGAGAGTGACACTTAAGACATCTGTGGGGGGAAAAAAATGTTTCCACAGATGTGGAATGTGGATTATGGGAAAAACCCTCAATTTCATGCTTCCAAATTCTGGATTATTTTAAATACTAATTGTAGTGGTCTTTTGAATGGCACAGGATGGATATTTCTATCTGCTTCAGTATTCACATTTTCTTAGTAACCAAAGAGTTGTACTCACAAAACCTAATCTCTTTCAGGATCCAAAATTCTGCTCATGACCTTCACATTACAGAAAAAATGTGCTGTAGTTGTGTTCAAAGAAAAACTGCTGTTAACCTTTAAGGCATAACAAACAAGTACTTAAAAGAAACCTTTTCAAGGTTTCATATACTTGCTAGGAGATAGTGAGATTATTTTTATTTCCTCTTGCAAGTCTTAATGAAGCAGACAAGGTTTAAGTTGTGTTGGTTGTTAGAAAATTTTCAAAAGGTTATCTGTAAACCTTTGAAGACAGACAGTTTCATTGCACAAGATTTCTTTAACATGCCTGACCTAAGTGGTTTTGTATCTTATTTTTCAAAATTAAAATATGGGTAA